GTCACCTGATGTGGGTGCTGGGAAATGAACTCGGATCCTCTGCAAAAGCAGCATTCGCTATCCACTGCTGAGCCATCTCTCTAGCCCCTGTCTGTTTATTTTAAGTCAATTTCCCAATATGCCTCTCCAACAGAAGCATGGCTCTGTCTAATTCACATGGGCCTTAGCTAACAGGTGGTGGAGTCAGGGCTAAATGCTGTGAGGCTATAAAAAGATTTCTGTAACTCTTCTGTGTTTAAACACAGATAGGTTGAATATAAGTTTTTGTTCCAGCTAGTCTCTGATTGATAGCTAAAGCCTGCCATTCATTAAATTAATGCTCATAAATAGAAGACCCATATAAATGCATTTTCTTCTTTGGCATCTCTTAAAAAGATCAAAAAGATGTTTGCAATTCCTTCAAATTTTACTAAACATGTGTAATATTGTGTCTCGGATTCTCTTGTACACTATCACCGAGTGCCATCACTTCATGCAAATGACATTGCGTACTGTCCCTTCTTGCAAGCCAAGTGCAGACTGCAGGAGAGGCCCTCACTTAACTTCAGGTCAAAATGCTAAGCTGGTGCTATGCTTTATGTCTCTTCCCTCCCTTTCATTCCATAATAACAAACACTGCCACAACCCACTTCTTCTCCCTTAACAGACCCTGAGCTTTATAAGTGGCAGGCATTTTGGTGTCCATGCCAGAGCTAAGTGACTACAGTTAAGGACCACGTGGTGACTGCTGTTCTGACTGACATCTTCATGACTTTACCGTTAACTGGGACATCACTGTAGTTGTACAAATAGCACAGATTCGTAGTCACACCTCAGGAACCTTCTGGAATGCCCCGTATCTCCATCTAGTTTCTTCCATGAGCTCACTTACTCTTCCACTTACTAATTCAGCAATGAGAATGTATTAGTCACCATCTTAGTCATTATTTATATTAGGCCACAGGCATGGCAGCCACATGTTTACCTATTGACATTACTTGTTTTGGGCAGCTGCTGTACTTCCAAAGTGAAGTATTCCCTCCTGGCAGCAGGAGACCCATGAACTCCAGAAGCTTATAATTATTACTGACCATCACAAACACCATGTTTTCAAGGTTCTTCTCTGCGTAGAATCACAGCACCTCCCTTGAAACAAGGCCAACAAAATGTTTAAGATGGGTAAGTTAAAATCTCCCCTCTTGAAAACTGTTTTTTGGTTTTTGTTAGAACATTGTTCCAATCACCTGATGAGCAAATAATGAGTTTAATTCATTTTCCTGTCTTTCCTGGACATGGTGAATCTGCCGCTGCCATGGTTCCGAGCCCTCTCCATCTGAAGAGGCAAAGCAGGCAGCGAGAAACAGGTTGCTTTTGTCTGGGTGATGTCATCCAGGTCCACTGGGCAATCTGCCTGTCTGCCAGCTCTGGTTCTTTCTGCACTAAGAGGCTGCCTTGGTTTTTCTCTCTCCACAGGGATGCAGCAGGGCTGGGAGGGAGATGGGGGGAGGGGTGACTGCACTCCCACTGACAGTTCTAACAGCACATGACAGAAGAAAACCAGGCTATTACTAAAACTGATCAGCTCAGAAGCAATGCAATCAAAGCCTTCAATTACACCTGGGTGATTTAATCAACTCCCTGTCAAACGCGGGCTGGGACTCCTCTGCTACTGTACAAATACAGTAATTACCACACCAGCTTGCAATAAGATATCATTTCAGTGGATTAGAAAACACATTCTGTCCTCAATTACCAACAGCCAATTTATAGGCCCTGAAACAAGCAATATTTTTTAATTGCTGCCTTTGTGTCATTATCTCAAAATTACTTCCCTTATGAGGCATTGAATCATCTCAGCAGTGTTGGGAGTGAGGGCAGTGGGGAGATCCAAAACCTTGTGCTCTGTTCTTTCAGATGAAATAGGGATAGAAGCACCAACCTAGTTCCCTGCAGTGCTGGATTTTTAATAAGAAAACAAACAGAACCCCAGAGACACTCAACTATGTAAATGATCATAAACAAAGCCCAGGGGTCCAGAGGGGATGGGCAGATGAGGAAGCCAGGGGTCAGATTATTCTGACCTGTGACTTTTCTGTTCTCCTAGTCAGATTCCCCGTCATAACCCTGTCATGCAAGCTTCCTTTTGGGGAGGAAGGCATTTATTTCTTTTGAGGGTGCGCTTCAGTCTGGGCCAGATAGGATCACTGTCGCTGGAGATTCGCATGTTTGGAAGGTTTGAAATCTCTACCCACTGCCTTCCTAGCCCAGGTAAAGAACAGGAGTGACTTTCACAGGGCATCTAGATTCTTCACTTCCTGGTTCAGGGCCGTCAGATACTCCCTGCTGACTTCCTCCATCCTGCCAGGCTCAGCTTAGAGGGATGGTAGAGCTAGCTTTCACAGCAGAGTACAGAAAAAATATTATTGTTAGAACTACAGGGTGTGTCATTGATCTCACTTGCTAAGTGAGGAACCCAGGCATAGAATGACTAAAGGTTCTGGAGGTACTGACGTCATAGGACATTGAACGAGACCCAGAGAGGTTTTGATCCTGACACTGGCACTCAGTAGCTAGTTAGCATCTTTAGTAGCAATATTTATTGAGAGTGCCACACACTTTTTAAACATTTCACATGTAGTGCTACATTTAATCCTCATAATGACTCCATTAGGTAAAAACTATAGTTACCCCACTGAATAAAGCATAAAACTGAAATGGAGAGAAGAAACTTGCCCAGGGTGACATTGCAAGGAAATGGCATTCCTGTGCTCCTGTTCTTAGCTGACCATTGCCTTTGTACTGGGCACTTCTCTCAGGCTATGACGAAATGCCTGGGAGAAGAAATGGTTTGATAGTTTAGTCGTGGTGGTGAAGCCCTGGGGGAGTTCAGGGTGGTGGCAGGGTGGAGCCAGGGCTTCTCCCGTCTTGGTGACAAGAGAAGGGTGTGGAACTGATATAGCATCTCCTTCCCTCAGTCCTATGCAGTCTGGGGCCCTAGCCGTGAATGGTACCACCCACATCCGGGGTGGAGCTCCCATCCTCAGGTAAACGTCTTTGTAAATACCTGCACAGATGATTTGACATGGCGAGTCCAATGTAGACAAGCTTCGCCGTGTCATGACTAGCTTTCCCCGCTCTGTGCTGTCCCTGGTTGTGATCTCACGAGTCCCTAATTTCAAGTTATGCTCCACCACTTGGACGATGTCCTAGAGCTCTCGCAAACTGTCTCCCATCCTAAGGACATCATTATCTTGATCCCAAACCTATAGATCCTTCAATATTTCGAGTATTCTTGAATGTATACCTTTGACTGCTTGGTTATTTAAGCCAACATCCTAGGCATGATCCGGGGTCACCATCTCTAATGTGGAGAGTTGCCATGATCTTCTGGCAGAATGACTGATGCCAGTCAGGTTATTTTCAGAAACACAGCTACCTCACCAACAACTCTCTGATCCTTCCTTATCAGCGACCATCATCTTATCGTCTTGGGAGGCTCTCAACAATCTTCATGATGAGCTCCTGCAGACAGCTTTGTTTACAGTCACCATGATGCCTTCTTGTCTTATTACTGCCTTTCTTGGTTGGTGCCACGCCCTCCTCCCATCCCCCCCAGCTGCATCCTTCTCTTCAGGGTTTCTTGCCTTCCTTCCAGAGGCATGCAGAGGAGGAAGAAGTGTGATAAACTAACTGAGCATTGCCCCAGCTCCTGTTCTAAAAGCTTGAAAGCATGAGGGAGTTCAAGCAACCTAGTCTAAATGAATGGGCCATAAACCCATAAACGTTGCTTCATTTGGTCAAATCCCCTGGTGTTCAAAGAAGGAAGGGACACAAAAACTGTATGAATAAACACACGGCTGCTGGGTAGTGGTGGGTACACCTTTAAGCCCAGCACTTAGGAGGCAGAGGCAGGTAGACCTCTAGGAGTTCGAAACTAGACTGGTCTATAGAGCTAGTTCTAGGACAGCTAATGCTGTTATACAGTGAAACCCTGTCTCAAAAAAACAAACCAAAGCAAACCAAAGCAAACCAACCAAAACAAACAACAACAACAAAATAGCAGGGGTGAGTGTGGAGCTAAGTCCTTACTCTGTGAGGTTCAGAGTCCAGAGTTCTGCTTCAAGGACAAATCTTCCCCAGGTTAAGGCATACATCTGAGTGCTTTCTTTCCATGGAGAAAGTCATTTCCCATCTGGAGTGCCTCACGGTGGACATAAACATGGGCCTTACTCACTTAGATAGATAACTCAATTGTCCTCTCCCATTGAACATCTGCATGTTGAGATTGTGCGATGTCAAATAATTTTAACAGAGACCTTTCTCAAATGAACAGCTTGTATAGGTGACTTAGGTTTGGAGCTTGACACTGGAGGAATCTGACAAAAATGAAGTTAAGGGGACCAGGATGATCTAGACACCAATGCCATTCCAAATGCTCAGTAGCCACATAATTTAAATAATTAGGCCTATTAAGTTAATTAGCCAATTTTTTTGTTTGTATTTTTTCAAGACAGGGTTTCTTTATTACTTTGGAGGCTGTCCTGGAACTAGCTGCTGTAGACCAGGCTGGTCTTGAACTCACAGAGATCCACCTGCATCTGCCTCCCAAGGACTGGGATTAAAGGCGTGCGCCACCACCGTCCGGCTAGTCAAATATTTTTGAAAGTTCACCATTTGCTTATACTTCCACAGCGATTTTGCTTAGTTTTCATTCAGAAAGTGTTGTGCCTCAGAGAGGAGAGGGAGAAAGAGGAAAGGAAAAAGGGGAAAAGGAAAAAGAAAGCAATCTGCTTGCCCCATATGTCAGCACTGTGGCATGCTGGGAATATTTGGACAGGGTAGATGTTAAACTGTCTCAGCATGGTCCCCCACAATCACAATCATATGAATCCAGGTCCCTACTTCAGGAGTTATTTACATTAAAAATAGTACCTTGCTTGTTCAGTCCCAGTTCCTGGAATTTAATGTTTGCTGGCTGTATAGACAAGAGTCTTGTCCATCCACATTTTCATGCCAAACCAGGGAGCTGGCTAGAGGAAAACACACCACTCCTTGCCCTGGGATGGTGGAGTCAGATTTGCCACCATGGCTTCTGGCCAGTTCTGTGAAGGTTGCCCTTGAGCGTGGGCCTCCCTGGAGAGAAGGAATGAAACACAGAGAAAACAATTAGCCCTGGATGGACTTATAAAACTCACCCCAATCTTTGGAGCCTGGCATATTTGATTTTTGGGGTTCACAAAGTTTTATCAGATTACTGTCCTGCAGAGTACCCCTTTTCTAGCTGAGAACCCCTCAGAGCAGCATCATTTAAAGGTGACAGAGGGGCCAGGGAGGCAGCTGTGCCCCGGCCCAGAAATATCCCCAGCCGAGTACTATCAGCAGAGCAAGAGCAGGGAAAGTTACTGGTTTTACTTTGTTCTTCACCCAGAGACAAAGACCTTACAAGCACACTTTTGGAAGCTTGATGAGAGATAATTTGCTCCAATTTCTCCCCTTGTGGATGGGCTGTTTCCTCTCTCGTCAAAAAGCGGGAAGAAAGACCAGATTAATCAGCCCACTCATTCTAGCCCTCCACAGTCTCAGAGACCATTGTGACCAAGACGTTTTCCTCAGGCTGTCACTTTTCTTCATTTGAATGTTAACCCCTTCATGACCCACATCTTGCCTTGGCCTTCCTGCGCTTAGGGCTGGCCTTGCTCTTGGCTAGTCAGTGGGAAGCAAGGGGACCTTCTCCCATTCAGGAGCCCGGCCTGGAGAAGACCCCTGGGGCAAAGGATTGTGAGTCCTCCAGAGGAGGCCTGGCCAGTCACTAGAGCAGTGGTTCTCAAGCTTTCTAACACTGCGGCCCTTTAGTGTAGTTCCCCAGGATCCTTCTCCCTTGCTTAAAATCATTCTCCAGGTCTCAGCTGAGCCATTGTTCTGTTCTCAGAATGCATGGTTGGTGAACCCCCAACTGTAAAATCATTTCCATTGCTACTTCACAACTATAAGTTTGCTATTGTTATGAATCTATTATTATAAATATCTGATATGCAGGATATCTGATATGTCGCATCCTACCCCACACCCTCTCATAGGTTGAGGAATCACTGCACTAGGGGAAGACTGACATTACCGAGATTGTGTACACACACACACACACACACACCTGAGCTATCTCCCCAACCCAGCTTCTTCTCTTGTCTTTAAAATAAACACATTGTGCATGTCTGCTGTGTTCCAAGCATCAAAGATAAAACCGTATTCCAAACACCAAAGATAAAACTATAAGCAAAAGGGTCTTTGTCTTCAAGGGTAGTCTAGGAAAGGAGAAACAGGGACTGGGTTGGAATGGGGATTGTCAGAAATTTTGAGAACAAAACAATGGTTCAGCAGAGATCAGGAGACTGATCTGTTAATTTAGCAAAAGGAGAAAGGGTTTCTAGAAAAGCCCACTAACTGTGCAAAGGTCCTGTGGTGGGTAGTGACAGAGTATCCAGCACTGGCCCAGAAGCATGGAGGAACAGTGGGATGGCCCAGGAAAAGGCTGTAGAGGCTAGACAAGTCTTCATATTAGGATTAAATGTAGCTGAAATAGTGTATCTTTTGCCTGATAGGAAAGCACTGAGTTAGTCAAGCTAAAATGTGCACTAAGCCCATGTGAGCTCTAAGTTACCAGCTACAGCAGGAGCTGGACATTGTTTACTGTCGGTTAAAATCCTCTGACCCCAGCTCCAGCCCTAACCACCATCTCTTTCATGTTCCAGTTGCCCTGTGGTGGTGGGTCTGCCCGGTCCGTTTGGCTGGACTTAGAATTATGGCGGAAATAGGCTTCTGGCTGTGTGTATGAATGTGTTTGCAGAAAGGTTTAGCTGAAGAGGGAAGACCTCCCCTGAACGTGGATGATACCATCCTCTGGGCAGGGTCTGAACAGAACGGAAGGGCTCAGTGCCGGGTTCGTCTCTCCTGTCTCCTGGAGAGGACTCCATGTGACTGGCTTCCTCATGCTCCTGCTGCCATGCCTTCCTGCCACGATGGACGACACCCCCATGGTTATCCAGAGCAAACCTCCTTTTCTCAGTTGCCTTTGGAGGGCGTTTTGTCGTGACAACAAAAACAGTAGCTAACATGCCCCAGGTGCAATAGATTCCATCTTCTCCAGGTTGCTCTCTCTCCTGGTCTCATGCTGCCTGGGGCTCCATATGTTTGACCCCATCAATCCTTCAGCCTGAAATGAACATGCTGCATGCTCCGTGGAAACCCGAGTGGTGTCCGTCCACACATGCCAGGTCCACAGTGCAGTTTTAATACATGTGAACGAGTGAATGAATGCATGTTTTAACATTTTGAATGTGATCCCACCCTCTCCAGGCACTCTTTCCTGGTTCTCCAAGTTGGAACAGGTTGGTCCTACCTTGCTGCTACTCTACAGGGCTATGCCTCATTCTGGTTCTAACACTGGAATTCTCCAGTCCCATCTTTAAGAAAAGATACAGGAACACATGCTCAGTATACCCAACTCAAGTCAAGGCTTAGGACGAGCCCCTTGCCACCTGCCCTACTGTCCCCACCACGCGGCATCAGTCTCTCTCATCTCGGCTCCCTCTGCCTCTCATGAAGTGATGCCACACAACAGGAAGGAGGCCCTCGAGCGCAGGGCCCACCTTGAGAGCATTGATGCTGCCCTGGGGTCTCCCTCTGTTGGCTGCCATCGCTGGGGTATTGTGGCCTTTCTGCAGCTGCCCCACCCACACACGTCTAAGGGCCGTGGTGGCACTGACATGTGGCGTGTGCCATCGCAACGCTGTGTCATGCTTTGTAACCAGCTCTGTCATATCTGTTGCTTGGAGTCAGCTGTGTGAAAGAAATGTCTCCTTAGCAGTCGACTCTGTTTTTGGATTGCTCCTTGCACAATAGCCCGAACTGCTCAAGTCAAACCAGAGCAAGTCCCTCTCTAGCGGAAGCAGCGCTGACACAAACTGGCCGAGTGAAGGATTGCCCTCTAGCATAGTTCTCCAAGCTGCTTTGAAACAGAGCGGTGCGAGCTAAGAAGAAAAGGAGGCTCTGTGTGGTTCTGTCCCTGGCAAGGATGTCTGTGGCCAAATCATTAGAAGAGCCTAACAGTGGAGTATGACATATGCTTTTGAGCTGTGACTGGTGCCCATCTACCTGTGTCCAGGCAAGGAGCCTCTCCAACACTGTTAAGAGTTGGAGGGATTGCCCAGAGTCCTGCTCTATCATATAGACATGGAGAAATAGGAGCTATGCAGGCTTCCTGTCTTTACTGAGTAAATGTCTATACCCAGCTTAGATCTGTAACTTGTTTTCCTCGGGTCACTGGATGGCAGTAATCAAAGTCCCTATCAACCAAAATAATATCGATTTTTAGTTATAGTTAGTTATAGCCTTGGTGTGCCTGTGCTAGGCATTTATTTCTTAACGAAGAGACACGTGTGTGGGCACACATGTACACACCTAATACTGGAAGAAAATACATCAGGCTATCACCTTCCTACACTTTGATGATCTCCCCTGACATCAATCACACACTCACAGGGCCAGATAGATAGATAGAGCTCCCTTAGCACACCTCTAAACAAGTGGATTCCAGGGTGACTTGATCTGGGGTGGAAGTGATACTCTTTAGTTCAGACCCACACCAAAGGCTATGTGTACCAATGCCTCTCTCTCTCTCTTTCTCTCTCTCTCTCTCTCTTTCTCTCTCTCTCTCTCTCTCTCTCTCTGTGTGTGTGTGTGTGTCATAAACTATAGATATTAGCTGAGTCATGCATTATGGGGAGGTGACAGCTAGAATAATTAAGCATCTTGTAGATATAGGTCAGTATGAGAATCTTTTGGATCATAACACTTTGGGAGCCGTGGAAGACACATTTCACAGCAAGAGTCCGGAATGTGGCTTGGCAGAGAGCAGACGGTCAGTCAACATCTTTTCCTTTCGCTTTTTGCTTTCTTAACTATTTTTATTTCAAGAATTTGGGATTTCTATTCCCTATCAGAAAAATAAAACCTCCTTGGGGAAAATCTGATAGCAATTTGCAGCTTGGTACAAACCTGCACTGCAAAGGCTCTCCTCCTTGACCTAAAACTAAAAATCCAATATCAAACTAAAAATTAGAATGCATTGTGTTGTGTTCACAGGGTTCTAGGAATCAGGGTGAAACAAAAGGGCTACTCTGGGAAGGGAAGATATCCCCCATAGCGTCCACCCAGGCACAGACCAGGACATCCATGTCATGGCTGTGTGTTCTGTGTGAGCATCCACAGGGAAACGGGCCCTAACAGCAGTGTGCAAGAGTCCGCTTGTAGTGTGCATCTTCATTTTGAAGATATTAAAAGCCTGGCCATAGTCCTTCTCGTCTCAGAAAGAAATCTAACAGAGCCCTTTCCACCCACCCAGCGCCAAGTGGAAAGAAGCACAATTCAGAGTTATTTTATTAATAGTTGGGGAGCCAAGATAAGGAGTGATCGTGTTACCCCTGACTTCAGCATATTTGAAGGGTGGACCTTCCTACCATCAGCTCAAGCCTGGAGTTGTTCTCAGAGAACTTTCATATCCTCTGAAAGATATTTGGAAAAATTTCAGAACGATCAATATGCTATCAGCCTTCTCCGGCATGCACCTATGAGAATAAACTGAGGTGTGTGTGTGTGTGTGTGTGTGTGTGTGTGTGTGTGTGTGTGCGCGTGTGTGTGTGCGTGTGTGTGTGTGAACATGAATTTCAAGGCACTCACGTTGAGGTCAAAGAGCAACTTGCAGACTTTGTTTCTCTTTTTCTTTCTTTAATTTACTGTCTGTGTCAGTATCTTGTCTGCATGTGTCTGGTGTCTATGGAGGTCAGAATTGGGGACTGGATCCCCTGGAACTGGAGTTACAGACAGTTGTGGGCCACCATGTGGGTGCTAGGAATTGAACCCATGTCCTCACCAAGAGCAACAAACGCTCTTAACTGCTGACCCATCTCTCTAGTTACTTAACATATTTTAACAAGGCACCCAGATGTGACCGTCTAGCCAAAGTTCCTCATAGCCATTTATAAACTCATCTTTGTTGCATGAATGCTGCAAGTTACAGCTAAATGTCAGGCAGTTGCTTAAGGTCAAAGGGAAATCCAAGGAATGGGTGTGTGTTCGCCAGTCCCTAGGAGTGTCCCCAGTTCGGATGGCACAATCAGTGTGGGTTATTGTTCCTGGCAAAGGGCAGAGAAACAATGAATTCCAGTCTTTAACAAAACTGAGTCTAGTTAGGCAGTAATTAATTGTCCCTAGTAGTTTCTGCTCGGAGGCCACGCCACAAGGACCAAATGATGATCAGGAGGATGTTCATAGTTTTAAATATTTGCTATGCACCAGGCATGGACCAAAAGACTCCAGGCACATCGTTCTCTTAAACAAAACAGCCATCCAGTAAGGTGGCAGTTACCTTTCTGATAGTCCAGAGAGCGGAGACTCCACTGGGTTCAGGTGTGGCCAGCTGCCAGGGAGTCTGGAATGTGAGCTGAGGAGCATCCGACTCGACCATTGTGCTGCACAGCCTCACTGTGAGCAATCTGAGCCGTGTCTCCTTCGGGAGGAAGGGAGGCTGGCTATTATCTACAGGTAGAGCCTCCATGAGAGGATGGGATACCCAGAAGGTGGAGAACACTCCTCCATTCACAGAGGCCCCTCCCTGACTGTGTCAGCATCTCCCTCTATGGTTAGCTTCCCTCACATCAGCTCTGAAGTAGGCATTTAATGTACGCAAACAAACTGCAAAATCCGGGCTTCTAAAAAGTCACTGATCTGCTCCCCTGAGTCCAACAAAGGAATCTGTAGAGATGTTTTCAACTTGGAAAATGGGGAAGAAATGCCCCACCCCATCAACTCAGTTAAGTTCTCCCTCGACGGTGGGTTGGGAACCTCTAAACCAGGAGTTCTCAACCTGTGGGTCGTGGCCCCTTTAAAATAATCAGAAAACACAGATATTCACACTATGATTCATGCCAGCAGTAACATTACAGTTATGAAGAGGCAACAAAACTAATTTGATGGTGGGGATCACTGCCACCTCAGGAACTGTGTTAAAGGCTCGAAGCATTAGGAAGGCCGAGAACCACGGCTCTAGACTGTACTGGCATACCCATCCTGAAAGTGGGCCAACTTTCAAAATTGTGTCCCCTTTTGCTAAAAAGGTGAAAAGTGGTTCAGCTATGTTACCCAGGCTTCTCCAAACCCATGTCTGCAGCCTCTTAGGAAGTGTAAAAATGGCCGCGGGGCATCAGCTCTACCCTGAAGAGTTCTTCTGGCAGGCTCTGGAAAGCAGTTCAGCCACATCTGGGCTGTGCCCTGGGAATTCTAGCAGCTGCGTTTGTTTCGGTTCCCTTTGAGCTCGGAAAACAAAGGAAAGAGGCTGTTTTGAACCACTTCCAACTCACTTCTCTGGATGCCTTACTGTCTCCGTTTTGAGAAGTTCTTCATCCGGTTTTTAAAGGCAGAAAGGGGGTAACTGCCCCCACAGCCCATGTTTTCCTCTCGCCTGCCCAGTTGTGAGAAAAGCCCACAACCTAAAAGAGAAAAGTAAAAAGAGCTGTTTCTACGGCTTTCAGGTAAAATCATTTTGCAAATTCCAAACGGCCTGAGCAAAATATGCCCAATAAAATTGTTCATAAGTTAGAAACCCAAATAGTATCAATGTCATAACTCCACAGGCTTGTGAATCTTTATTCCCTTGTCTTCTCCTCTCAGTTGCCCCAAAGTTGTGTTTCTTGTCCTCCAATGTCCATTACTTTCCTGAGCCAGGCAGTCATGAGGGAGCACAAGTATTTCAAGGCTGGGATCCAGCCAAGCAATGCCTGCGTTCCTCGGCGTCAGCACAGACCGCCCCCGCCAGGCTGGTGTTGACGGCATATTTCCTTGTAGGAAAAGCTGGGCAGGCGTGGGTTCTAGAGGGATGGTAAGGGTATGCTCAGGATGACAAGGGTCATGGTCCAAGACTTTACTATGTGTTGAGATCGCCACCAATCCATTTAAGACTCAGTCCTGGTTGTGGACATGGTAGTACACAGTAAGAAATACAGGCAGAATGTGAATCTGAGGCCAGCCAGGGCTACAAAGTGAGTTCAAGACCAGTCTAGGCAGTGTAGTGAGGACTTGTCTTCAAAAAAAAAAAAAAAAAAAAAAAAGAAAAGGGAAGAAAAGAAATTCAGCCTTTAAGCATGACTCAGTGTGGCAAGTGGTACACACTATCTCCCTTCTTTACAGATAAGAAAATGAATGTTTAGAGGTGGGAGAGATAATTATCCTACAGAAATGGAGGCCAAAATGCAAGGTCAAGTTGGAGCACAGACATCTGTTCCTGGGGCTCCTCACTCTGCTCTGCAGAGTCTCAGGCAAAGGCAGCTTTAGGAATAAGTGAATCATTTGAAAGGCTTCTGCTCAGCCAGGGCCTCATAGTTCTGCAAGACTTAACTAGCAAACCATGCCCAGAGCATGTGTCCACTGAACTCTGGCTTCCAGAAGCGTTCCTCCATTTATTTACAGTATGCAGCTCATGCCTGATTTATGAGCTGCCCCGGGACTGTGCCTTCCAGGCTGAGTTACCCATCTCTGCCTCTGAGGGTCATTGCTTTCTCTTTCATCACTTGGGCACAGAAGATCCTGACACCTTCCAAATGCAGCAATTAGTGAAGACTATTAAAAGAAATGTCTAAACCCAGCGATTGCAAAACCCATTAGCTGAGCAAAATTTAGAAAGAGAGGGGGTGGTCCTTCCATTACCTGACTTGAGTTCAAGTAGTAGAGGCCAGAAAATAATAAGCAAATTATAATAGCCAAAGCCAACCCAATCTAAAACTTACAATAAACAAAAGGGAATCAGAAACCTAGTTCTTAACCCTCTAGCAGGGTGTCTCATAGGAACCTATAGAAAATGCTTGAGAGATCTCTGGCAGTTCTTAGCCTTGACGGTGAGGTAGAGCGACACCAGTCGGAGACCTCAGCTCATACTCAGATGCAACAGGTGACCATGCAGAAGAGAAAGAATTCGTATCAGCTATGGTCCTTTGGTTACCTGGGATTGTACTGAAGAGATCACCCTTAAATTCCCACCATAGCAGATATTTGGACTCATTCCTAGAGGATGTTGATGTCCACAAAAGTCCTTTAGGTGCCTTGTTCAAGGATACATCCAATCACTTAAACTTCATTTGTACTATGTCATCCTACAGAACACACAGGTAAGGATAACTGACAAGGCAAGGTGGAACATGCATGGACTTTTGTGTACTTATTATCTCTCTTGGCAGAGACTTCACTAAGAGGATTCTCTTTGGATGCAAAACAATTTGAAAAAATGAACAGAGGGAAGTTGAGAGAATTCAGTAAATTCATGGGATGCAAAAGTGGAAGGCTGGGTTCAGTGGGGAGGCAGTCTTGCATGCAGCAGTGCACAGGAGTATCAGCCTGCCTGGCAAAATTAAGAGAGCAGATGGATTTCAAAAAGCAGATTCAAAAGGTCACATTGAAGTAGATAGTTTGGATGTGCAACTCTGGGACCCAGCTACACCCCTCTCTCATTTCCAAATACAATATAAATTAAAGTTCTTGCCTATAAGCCAAGTAACAGCCTGGTTTCTCCAATGGAATAGAACAGAATGGTCTAAGGAAGAATGATAGCAGCCAGTGTAAATGGTAGTGCCCCAAAGCAAGTCTCTCTTCATTCCTCACCTGGGTCTCCACTCTCCCGTAGCATTCGAGAAAGCCTACCATCTTACAGAACCACTGTGAGTCTTCTTATTGCTTGTTCTGACAGCTGAAGAGACTATCAAAAATCACCAGACATATGAGGAAGGCCTACAGAAAGAAAGACAAAGACATCATCGACCCCTGGAAGACGAAAGGCAATTAGAGAACAGAAGAGAACTTTGCACAAGACAGAACTCATTCGGTATGCCAGAAATACTCAAGAGTAAGTAGCATGCGTACAGCAGAGACAGAGGAGATGGCGCATGCTTTAATAGGGTCATTGACAAGCAGAGGAAATGCTTTGGAACTTGAAAATAAGATGTTGAAATTACAAAGTGACATATCCATGGAAGACAAAGGGTGACCTAAGCTTAGGGAGCTTCTAACAACAAAACCAAGTGCAAACAGGAAGAGAACAGAGGGAGGGAGAGAGAGCGGGAGAAGGAGAGGCGGGGAGATCAGTCCTAGGACAGCTGAGATTTCATGAATGGAAATCTGGAGAGCAAAAGGAGAAGGAAGGGCAGAAGACTACCTGAAAGGCAAAACCCACAGGAAGAATTCTCAGAGGTGACTGGAGGTACCCTAAAGTACGAAGGCCCTACAGAGTGCCCAGCAAATTAGCCAAAGCAGATGTGCCTCAGCACATTAGGGAGAACTTGAGAACATAAGAGATTAAAGGACTTTTCTGGAGTTGGGTCAAACAATAGAAGCAGCCTTCTAAGTCACGGTACTAAGTTGATAGTTAAATACCAGAAGTCTAGAAAAAAAACAACCAACCAAACAAGCACAAGCAGCCTGTTTCTGAGGGACAAGAACCACAGGATCTGAAAACAGAAGCAACAGGAAAAAATCATCATCTGTGGATAGCTGGCCTGCTAGAGAGGGGCAGGAGAAGTCACAGCGTATCACTGCGTCTTTTATTTTCCCTCTCCAAACATTAATGTGGGGTGAAAACACACACAGGCATAAAAACTATATGATAAAGCATTGGTTGCAAAATTATGTAGACTACCACAGTGAAAATATATTACCTATATATTTATAAAGTATCGTAGGCAATGTATAGAATACATATATTGTTTTTGCGTGTGTGTCTAGCAAAGCAATGTTCTCAGACTGTAGGCTTCTTTCCCGCAGAGAGTAAACCCGCCCTTGCCCATCTATTGCGTCCTCACACGGAAGGCAGTCTCTCGACTGTGTGAGCATTGAGCTGCACTCATGATGACTGATGGGTGTCACACAGAGCAGTCAAATAATTTCCCAGAAAGGTCTCCTAGTGGCTTGGAAAGTCAACAAGCCTCCTCCCTGCATAGGCTGAGCCAACAGGATATAAAAAACAGTTGGTTCAGTCGTGGAAACTTCAGCTTGAAACAGTTGGGATTTTCTGATCTTAACTAAATGTTTTTTTTTAGAAACTGAATTTCGTCAAACCTGTTTGTGTAAATGGGGAGCAAGCCATAGGCGCCCAAGGAGGCTTTGATTCTTCCTGCTGCTAAACATGCTGGGAAAAAGAAACTTCGGGAAGCTGGTTATTTTGAGCCATGACTAATTCCTTTAGGGAAAGAGAAATAGTTTTCTAATTGGTCCCTCTGCAGCACAAAGGGACTGATCTGAGTGGAACATGCCACCAGGTAATGGGGTAGAGCCCTCTCTTGGTGCTGAAGACTAGAAACTCAGAACTGGGGCTTTAAAAACACTTGGCAAACACTGCAGACCATGTGTAAAGAGGGCTGAAGCCGTGGAACGGGGAGATTGGATGCCTGCTCAGTGTTGGGGAGCTCCAGAGGGACATGGAATTCATTAAACTGCACTGGCAGCGTCATGGGGCTTAAGTTGTGCTTGACGGTATTTTTCTAAGCCAGGTACCTTTCTAGTTGGCTATAAGAAAAGCATCCCTCAGAGTTGGGGCACAGTGCAGACTGTAAGATCCAACTCACAGCTGGCAATTTCCCTAGAGGCAGGCAAACCACAGGAAGGCAAAAAAGAGAGAGAGAAAAAAGGGGGAAAAAAACAAACAAATAAGATCTCACAAGAGAAATTGTCTTTGTGGAAAACTTCAGAGTCCAGGGAGCCAAAGTAGGAGGAACTGGCCAGACAATAACTGAAGGACCACAGGTAGGAACAGCCCAGGGGGTAGGGGGGGGGAGGTGCAGTTTTGTCATGCGCTCACTCAAGGAAGGAAAACAAGAAGCCTGAAATCATGGTGAAACTGTTTGCCCGAAAGAGGAGTTGCTATAAATATAGATGTCGTGGGATACAAGGAACAGGAAGAAAACAGCAGGCCTGCTTTTAGAACGAGGTGCAGGCTCCAAAGTGATGGGAGCCTCTGGAGATCTGTGCGCCTTTGTATTCAAAATGATAATTTTGTTGAATTCACACTTTGTGCTAACAATATCCCTTTCACCCCAGACACATTTTCTGGGGTTGGAGTTGAAGAATAAGTTTCGGGGGAGAATGCCAGAATCAGCTACCCAGATATTATCCTGAAGGTGGGGATGCTGGCCAGACATCAGGTGGCCCCATGTGCTCCGCCACCGGTTGTCCATACCTTACACAGTCTCCTCCACTAGAGAGTGGTTGAAGTCTCGTAGTCCCCGAGACTGTCTTGCAGAAACCGACTGTGGGAAAGGTCGCAGAAGACTCATCCTGGGATGGCTGTATGTGTTTTAAGACTGTCTCAGAAGATTGGGACAGAAAGACCCTACACGAGGTTTGATGAAGTAAGTAGCCATGTCTCAAGGACCTACAGGTGACTCAGAAATTATAGGAAATGCTAGAACCTGCGTTTGGTTCCCAGCTGCAGCCAGCCAGAGGCTGAAACACTGGCTCATGGAGCCATAAGGAAGTGAGTTCTGCCATCAGCCTGTGTGAGCTTCAGGGAGGACATTGTGACACCTGGAGTAGAAGACTTACCAATCCATGCCTGAACGTCTCACCCATGGGACCTGAGATCGTGTGTGGTGTACCTTACAACATCTGTAGCTATTTGCCGTGCATCAATAGAAAATGGCTTCTCAGGTGTGAGGCAGGAGACAGCCATGAAGGGTGAGGGCAGATGACTCCCAACAGGAAATGGAGAAGTGCACAGACGGCTGATATCTTTCTGCATTAGCGCCTCTTCTGCATGCTGAGACAAAGTACCTGGCCAATGTGACCTAAGGAAGGGAAGGCTTATTTCAGCTCAGGGTTTGAGGTCGTCCACCACGGAAGGGAAGGCATGATGGCGGGGGTGTGAGGGCTGGGGTTCAGTGTGGTTTTCTCCTTGATTCACTCCAGGACCCAGTTTCCTACCTCAGTTAAACCTGTCTGGAAACACTCTCCTAGACACACCCAGAGATGCATCTACTGGATAATTCCAGATCTGGACGAGCTGACAATCAGGATTAACTGTTATGCCAGCATCATCACTGCTCCTGGCTGGACAGGCTCCCTGCTGGGCACTGCCCACAGCACATCTAATGTAAGTTTTGCATGCCACTGAGTTATTCCTACATTGCCTATGATAAAACCCAGTTGCGTTTTCTTGTGACCTAGTTTTTCAATATAGAAAGTTCTTTAATATTGGCCCTATACAATGCCAAAAAAGATTTGTTCTGTTCTGTTCATAGTCTGATTTTACACAAATCCTTCTGGAAGAGGGCATACAGAATTCCTTGCAACTACCCCTCACCTGCCTCATCCCACACGTCATAGCTTTCTAAAATACCTTGTTGCCATGAAATGGTGCCCCTCTCTATTCTTATCCTGAGTCTGTCTGGTATCTGTGAATTGAATCACCTTGACCCAGCAATGTTTGTATTTTACACACACACACACACACACACACATGCATGCGCATGCACGGAATGCTTTTTTACATCTGTTTATCTGTGGAAGAGGTGTGCCTTTTCTTGCTGTAGCATGGGTGTAGAGGTCAGAGGACAGTCTAACTTGTGTTTACCAAGTGGGTTCCTGGAAGATCGAACTCTGGTCCTCATGCTTGACTGCAGACTCTTTACTGACAGAGTCATCTCTGCAGCCTTCATATGCATAGTTCATAACAGATGTTCATAACTTGAACAGTAAATTAGAGAAACACATGAGCCCAGTGTGTGTGTGTGTGTGTGTGTGTGTGTGTGTGTGTGTGAGTGTGTGTGTGTGTGTGTGTGTGTTCTCTGGGCTCCACAAACCAAGGCATACAGCTATAATAGTCTTCTTCAGTAGTCTGCTTGGCACTTCCATGCTCTTGCTGGTTGGTGTGTGATCTAAATGGCTGTCAGAACTTCCCTCGTCCTTGTGGAGGAGAGGTTGGATGGCTTTCGCTATGTGGACAATTGCTCACATCTGATCTTCTCAGCCTCCATTCTTACTGTTTATGTTTTCTGAGCCACAGGTGTGCAGCGAGTGCCCTTGCTCAACTTTCATGGGAGCTACAATAACAACATTTAATGCTCTGCCCAGAAACTGTCAGAATTGCCAGCCTCCCCTCTCTAGCCAATAAGCTCCTTGAAGACAGCTTCTGGGTTAGGTTCTTATTATCTATAGAGCCCTGTGTGTGGTGTCTGGGACTTCAGAGGGGGTTAGCAGATGAGAGAATTAAATTAGTGGCCAGATAGGGGCAACAACCTAATCTCCCGACACTCCAAAAGTAAGGAAGAAGACAAGAAGGTAAATCAATGAGGTTAAGAGTTTTTAAAATGTCAGTTTATTGGGTGTTCCTCATTAAGATCAACCAGAAAGCCAACATTCCACCCTGTCCCACATAATTATGGGGTAGCAAAGCCATTTTATGACATTTTCCAAAAGAGTGTGGGTGTGAAAATCACTCAGTGGAGGACAGGAGGCCGAGGGTTTGTGGCCAGCAGTGCTGTGAGGAGGGAGAGCGATTAGCAAGCTATGAATGCATGTCTCCCTTTCACCACAGTTCCTGATTCCTCCCCTCTTCCTGCAACGCTAGAGGGTATTGCAAACATTGCTTTACTGTGTTTACAACTTTATGCTGCTAAGACACGGTTTCTTCCTCTACTTGACTTCCTGTAGTATGTTATCAGTTCTATTAAAAACGTAGTCTAATTTGATCCATTTTAAGCATGTCTTGTGCTACCTATTTTTAAGCAAACAGTAAAGTAAATAATTTTGTAGTATCTCAAGGCAGGGATTTCCACCACTCCCCTCCTCCACTCCGGTCTTCCTTGCTTCCCCTTACCACACCTCTGAACTGAGAGCCTAGAGCAGGGTACCAGGAACCAGCCCCAGTTGCTAGTGAGGGCTCCTTGGTAGCTCTCCCCTCTTCAGGACTCCAGTCTCTTCACCCTGCTCATACAAGCCAGGCCTGTGACTCCCTGGGGTGTGGGTATTTCTCTCCTCTCCAGGAGTCTCCTCCCCAATGGTGGCTGTCTCACAAGGCCGGGCATGCTAGAAGGGCAGCCTCCGCCAGCCTCTACAGCAAGGACGGCCTGTGCTCCCCAGACCCCCAGCAACTTTAGAATATGAACCTTAAAGCCGGTACTCCTAGGTGGAAATCCCCCAGCTTCTTGGAGAACCCTGCGATGCAGGTTTTGCTCTAGCCACACCACACGCTGGCTGCCTGTTTTAGTTCCTGGCGGCCCCTCTTCTCACTGATGCACCATTCTTTTTTTTTTTTTTTTTTTTTTTTTGGTTTTACGAGACAGGGTTTCTCTGTATTGTTTTGGAGGCTGTCGGTCCAGCCCGGCCTCGAACTCACAGAGATCCTCCTGCCTCTGCCTCCCGAGTGCTGGGATTAAAGGCGTGCGCCACCACCGCCCTGCTACTGATGCACCATTCTACATCGCCCTCAGCATCTGTGACGGGGAGCTGAGCGCTGTTCCCGGGGCCCAGCTTGCTCCGGGGTTAACGCAGAGGTTAAGTTTGGGTGTGTTAGGTGTCTCCTGCTGTTCTACACTCTCTCTAGATGTGTATGCTATATACATATGTACCCACTCTATACTCCATATTGTAGTACATATCATACACCTATTCCTATTCCTTCCAAGCACACTTCTACCGCATGGCCATTGCTTCTGTGGTGTCTTCCGTCTGGACTGCTTTTCCTTAGACCTCCTCATCGTCACCTCCCTGACGTGTTTCCAGCCCAGCTTTGCTGGCAATGCACTGCTTCCTGTTGCTTGCATCCTGGGCCACAATTTTCTGCTCTGGTCTAACTCTTTGCTTTCTATCCTTCAAGATGCTTGCACTATTTTTCTTGCATGGAGTTCCTCTTCTATTTCTGAGGTCTGCTTTTTTAAAAAAAGATATATATATAAACTTAAAAGTATTTTCTCTATCATTTCTATAGATTTGATGTGGGGAAGGAGTTTATCATTTTGAGAAGTGGGAAAACCCTGAAGAAAATTGTGTTAATTGTGTAGATGTCTAAAGGAAGAACGGTCCAGAGAGATTAAACAGCTGATGCAAAGACCTTGGGGGCATAAGCTTGGATGGCAGGAAGGGGTGGGAGCTTGGAGTGGCTGTTGCTTGGCTATATCAGAGTCACCTGAGGGGAAGGCAATGGAGTAAGCTCAGAGCAAAGGGAACAATGGAGTTTACAGAGCTGCATCTTAGGAGCCAGGCAGCCATTATGCGGAATTGAATCTCACCCTGGGGAGAACAGAAAGACAGGAGAGAAGTGATACAACCTAGCATTTCCAGACGATGTTCTGCCTGTTGAGTTAAGAATAGACTGGAGGGAGGACCAGGCCTAGCTTGTTGAGGCCTGCAGTCTGTCTGTCTCAGCACCACACACACGAGAGGCTGAGGCAGGAGGACTACTACAAATACTCAGCTGCATAATGAATTCAAGGCCAGCCTGGACTATGTGCGACTCTGTTCTATAAAAAAGCAAAGCGAAATAGGCCATGTGTCCTCCCCTTACCCCAACTTAGCGTCAGGTGACCTGCACGGAATGCTACCTTGGATCTTCTAGTTGTTGACGAAAAAAAGAAGATTGTTGTAGGTTACTTTAGAAATAAATCAAAATCAATTAGGTTTGCTTGCAGGATCTGGGAATAGCATTTGCTCATCAGCTGTGAATTTCCAAAGCCCTGGCACTTCTCGTACCTCAGGTGAAGAAGGTCTTCCTGAGAAGGCTTCCAGCTGGGCTGGAAGCAGGTGCTACCTCACCACTCCTCAGGCTCACTCCCTTGATTGATGTGGCTGGAATCCCACCTGTAAACCTGGGCTAGGATGAGGTCCTTTTGGGAAGAGGCTGTGGAATGCCAGGCTCTTATTAGAACCAGCTGGATAATCCGAGCCGCTTTCTGATTCGTGGAGCGCCAGCCCTGCATGACAGACTTGATGAGCAATAGAGAGAGCACATTGTTTAAAAGGCAGTGAGGCCTGGATTCTACACCAAGTGATGTGTGTGCCTGCTCTGGGAAAGAGGTGCCCGCCTGCAGGTGACTGGGCTGCAAGGCTGAACTTTGCTCTCCCGTCAACACAGTGCTTGTGACCTGGCTGGCAGAGTTTGCTTAGCTCCCAGACGCTTGACCTTGGGGCAGGTGGTCTCAGTTGGAGTCCTTCTATCAGTTCAGGGCTTCTTACAAGGGCCATGAATCTCCTGGAGCGGTGAGGTAATGGCTGGAGCAGCACAGGGCACTCCCTGACATGACCCCAGCCAGCCAGAAGGCAGCACTTCGGCCCCTCTGACTCTTGAGCAGTAGGGATCCAGTTTCTTGCCTCATACTTTCCATGGCTTGCTGGCCAAGCTCTAGAGGCTTTTCGAGCAAAGGAAATCAACTTGGCTAATTACTCTGAGGCACTATCTCACACTCCCTGCTCAGGGAATTCCAGAGGTCAAGACCACAAACTCTCTAAGGTCTCATGTGACTCTTGTGAGATTCCTGAAAGTCCTCTCCTGCTAAGGAATCCAGGGCAAATGTTAGCAGCCATCTTTGTTCCTAATGAGGAAGCCAGCGCCGCGGCCAGATTGCGGCTAAGTTGACAGGTTCTTGAAAACAACAGGTGTCGGTCCACACAGGGTCCTGCACGCCTCTTCCACACGCCCGCTCGCCCTCTGTGGTAGAAGCTGTGGTTGTTTGAGTGCTCATGTAAGGATGGAGAAAGGTTGGCCTAAGCTCTCAAGAACACGGCAGTGGGTATGCTGGGAAAGACTTCTGCCCTTGACATGTTCTGTGACTGTGACGGTGATTTGAGGGGAGTTTACTGGCTCACAGTTTGAGGATCCAGTCCCTCATGGGGGAGGTCAGGGAAGCAGGGGCCTGAGCTCACAGTCCCCTTTTTACTCCATCTTGGCCTCCAGCTCAGGGGACGTGGTGGCTCTGCCCACATTCCACAGGTCCCTCCCTCCGCTTCAGTGGGCTTCTTGCCTGACCACTGGGAAATCAGTCTCCATGGCAACTCTAAGTCCCAGCCGTTGACAAGATCAACCATTGCACCACACCTGGATGAGTGATTTAATGACCCTTAACCCCAATTTATTTGTCCTCTGAAGATTGTGCTGGAGTCTGAGGTCTGGCTCAAACACACCCGCCTACAAGGAGGTTACCCTCAAAAACTGGTGGTTTCTCATGCTGCATATGGTTGGCACCTCAAGGTGCAGGACCAGAGCCCTGGGAACCTACATCCCCAGCCTGGGGCATGCACACTTACCTTGAAATGCAAAGGATCTTCTGCAAGGCCACTCACCACACCCTGGCATCTACTCGGGCAGATCGGAGTCACGGAACCACCATGTTTGTGTCTGGAGGGATCGTGAGATTGCACTACTGACTGTGTCTTAGGCACTAAGTCCCTCTGTCCAACACAGTTTGCTCTTGAGGGATGGTGTGTGTCATGCTTCAAAAAGGTCTTTCCTCCAAACTTCCTGAAAATCTCCTGTAAGCAGAGGTGCTCAGAACACAAAGGGAAAGAGCCACCAGCTCCAATGAATGAAGTAAAAACCTCAGGCATTGTCATGAAAGGAGATTCAGTTAGCCAGCACCATTCGCTCTGTAGCCTGATGTGTGACAGGTGACAGACTCTCTCCTGCATTGCAGTCCCTGCTCCAAGCTCCTAGTTGCTATGCAAAACCTCCAGGCTACAACGGCTTTCCTAGAGCAAAAGCTTAGACCCACACCAAAGAAATTTAACTGCATAAGCCTCCCTGCTGTGGGGAAAGTCAGGGTACCAAACCGCTAAGGTTCCCCTCATTTCCATCAACCTGGTTCATAGGGCTCTTGCTTCTGGCCTTGTTTTCTGTGTGCTTGAATTGATGCTTCTCCCCTCCCCCCATTAGGTTCAAGCATCGCGTTCATACAATAATGGAGTTTGGCCTGGAATATTTGCAGAGGGTCAAGTTCTCTGCTGCAAACTAGATCTCTCTTGCATGTTAGAGTGTAAGTCGAATATCAGCTCTCACTTGTGTGTGTGCAAGGTAAATTTTCCTGCTTCTCTCGGAGCTGTCTGACTGACCTTACAACTCTGACAGTAATTTCTACTAGAGTCAGCAAGCTAATCCATTTGATTGCAAACTTTTTGAAGTCATTGTTCCTGCTAATTTAGTGTTTGTCTTGGAAACACCGGACACAAGCCCAATAAACATTAAACACAAGATCCCTTAAAACCATAAACCCAAACCAACAAGTCCTCTGCTGAAGCCCCCGTATGCAATCCGACTGCATTTGGGATAAAAACATACCCATCACGTGATTTAAGAGCTCTGCAAGGGTCTGGCTCTCATTTAGCCTGGAGAAGTTGGAACACCATTTCCCATACTTTACATGGAAGGAAAACCCTGGATAATCTACGGGGCCACAGCACTGTCAACCCCTGTCAGCAAAGAAAGATGGACGCATTCATGGATGTGAGCCCTGCTCATCTCGAGCAGATAGTAAATGGCAAATTCACTCACAAGTACAATACAGAAGTTAAAATTGTAAGAAGCTGCAAAAACCAAACATGAGCCATTGTTAGGCCACGCATGGCCGCAGGTGCAAAGGGATTTGTCTTTCCCTGTAGACAAATTTTTTTCCTTGGGCTTCCAGCTCACAAATAGTGACATGGAGACTTGTTATTAATTATGAAAGCTCAGCTTAGGCATGTTCCTAACTAGTGCTTACAACTAGTGCCGGCCTGGCAACTCCTCCTTTCTTTTTCCCTGAGACCTCTCTGTCCCCAGAAATCCCACCTAACCTCTTCCTGCCTAGCTATTGGCCACTCAGCTCTTTATTGAACCAACCACAGTGGCACATCTTCACACAGTGCAACATTTCCCTTCAGACCGCCCCACATGGTCCTGTTTTGTCTGACAGGTTGTGGTGTCTTACAGAAATGAAAGTCCCGTGGTGTTGCTCTGTCATCCAGGTGTCTCCAGCATGAGGACAGCAAGGGTAAAGCACGCTGAATATAAATCTCTGGAGACATAGCTCAGTGGTAAGGTCCTTGCCTAGCATGTATGAGGTCCCAAGTTCAATCTCTAAGTGTCTCAGGAAAGGGAAAAAAGAAGTTTGTGTCAGATCTGGAAAATCCAGGATCAAGGACCAGCAAATTCAGTGCATGATGAGAACCACTTCCAAGTTCACAGGCGGTCATCTCGTCTCGGGGCACGTAAGGGGCCGGGAGTCTTCGTGATGGTTCTGCTATCACTGGCTCCCTCCAAACACTGACTTGCCAAGGACTGACTTTCATTTTCTACCTGGGGAATTTGCTCTAGAGCCTGGCATTAGCTGCTTTACATCCGATTGCGCCAAAACACCTGGTTACAGTAACATGAAGAAGGAAGGCTCATAGTTCCAGGCTGCAGTCCGTGTGGCAGGGAAGGCATGTCAGCAGCAGGTGACACGGGTTATTGTGGTATGCTCATGGTCAGGGACAAGAGGGACATGAACACTGGTGCTCAGCTCACTTTCTCTGTTTTATTCAGCATAATGAGCTCTTCCCATCTCATCTGACTCAATCCAGAAACTTCCTCACATACACACCTAGAGGTTTGTCTGGTGGGTGATCTAGAGGCAATTAGATTGACAATATCAGCCATCACAATCCTATATCTATGTCATCTGTCTGTCCACCCATCCATCCACCCACCCACATACCCATCCACCCATCCACCCATTTATCCACAGCATAAATATGTAGAACACAAGCTAAACAATTAGTGAACATTTATTAAATAATGAGTGAGAGGCTGAATGGTCTGAAAACACCACCCTTCCTGGTCTCCTGGCTATATTCACAAAGTGAAGGGATAATGGTTATTGTTACAACTAAGGCTTCTTCTGTGTCAGAGCTCAAATGTGGAATTATAACATACTTCCTATCCCTCTTGTCACACTCAGCCATATCCCAAGCAATGATTCTGCTCTCCTGGCTTCACCTAGGACTGGGTTAAATAGGCTACAGTGCCTTTAACATTTAAAGGGAGAGCGGGAAGCCACACTCTGGCTCCAGATGCTGGTTTGGTCTCTACTCAACCTTTACTAGGAAGTCGTACACTTTGAAAACCGCCGAGCAAGCTCCGTAGAGTGTGTCTCTTGATCCTCTTAGTCTGTAAGAGTCCATGGATGTTGAGAGTAATGGTTTGCTGCCCTGTGAAGAAGACTAGAGGAGAGACCTGCATTCTTCTGTCCTGGGATTTCTCCTTGAATGAGGTAGAAGCAAGAAAGAAAAGCATAGTCTACCACAGACTTACAGTTTGTGTATCAGTGCTCCAGAGGAGGTGGGCAGGGGAGTGGACTGTGGTCCATCAGGAGACAGAGCTCCTACAGCAAAAAACAATACAAAGGATTACCAAAGAGGGAAGGTGGCCAGGACGGTATGGAACAGCACCTTCAGCTGCTGCAGACCGGCACCCTGCTTCAAAGCGAGGCAACTATGCTCTTCTGCTGAAGAGTGAACTTTCTTCACCTCTGCACACTGGTGGCAGCCCAGGCACTTCTCAGCTATCAGGGAATGCGCCCTAAGAACACTCAGAAGCGCAGGGGTGGCGTTCATCTGAAAGGTCTGGAGAGCCCATGTGAACAGGTGGAGAGCCCGGGGCTAGGAGAATTTGTCAGATACAGTTGTAAACGTTAATACTTTTCTCACCCACCAGCTGGTAAAGCTGGAGAGATGTCAGCAGCTCGCTGATTGACTGAGCTGTGAGCCCATCCCTGTGGCCACTGAACCATTCCATCTGGCATTTGGACTCTGGGATTGGGATGACTTGGGAAGATGGCCAAAGTGATCAGATCCCTCTCTCTCGGCAGCCTGCCTCAGCAGCTGCAGTAAACCTGGCCCATGCCCCCAAATGCATTAATCCAGACAAAATAAATTTTACTTTGGGTTTGATTTAGAAGCGATAATATAAAAAATGGGAACATTTTCCATGACCGAGTGAACATGATCAGTGTGCTAAATTATGAAGTTCAGCTTATGCTATCTAATGGAAGACTGTAAAGTTACAGAAATTCCATATGGGGTCATATTTCAGAATTATCACACAAAACTATAAAGCAAAACCACAGTTCATGCTTAAACGCTGTGCTAAGCAAGGGTGCCGAAAAGTCATGAGATTCGGTTTTTATAAAACTTGCCAAAATTAAAATGACTATGGACTTTTCTTGTGTCTTTGAAAACAAACAAAAAACACTTTTGCAGACCATGTCACCAAACACATTCTTCATTTCTACTCTAGGCAGCTTATGCGCCGTAGCCTCTGCTGTTTGGAGACTAGGCTTTTCTTCCTGAATCCTAACAATGCCTTAATTAATATACTCTAGTAGTTGGCTTCCTTCCCTCTCATCAGGAAAGAATTTTAAACCAAGGTCTTGGACTCCTAATTTTTTTTTTTGAAACTGGGTTTCTCTGTATTGTTTTGGAGGCTGTCGGTCCAGTCTGACCTCAAACTCACAGAGATCCACCAGCCTCTGCCTCCCGAGTGCTGGGATTAAAGGAGTGCGCCACCACCACCCGGCTAGGCCTTGGACTCCTTTGTGAAGTGTATACCTTGGGTTTCTCTTCATCGGCTGTCTTAAGAGCAAATTAACTCAGCCCTCATCTTCATGCTGTGTCTCCGTGATGGAAGTCCCAGACGCTGGGGAGCGATGGTAGAACTCCTCAGACACTCGGCAATCCAGTGCTTTGCTTAGTGTTGCTGGAGCCTTGGGAGATGGAATGCGGCCTATCCCAGAGCTGTGTCCTCGGGTGAATAGCCTCTGCAACTGCCTGGCGTGAGTCTGTCCTGCCAGGTTAGTGGTGTAGCAGCGCAGGGGCGGGGCAGGCATGGGGGCTCCTAGTCTAGTCTTAATGAAGTCAGTGTAGCCATCAGCACAGCCACTGTGAATGACAGGGCTTCTTTGAAGGTAGGCACAGGCATCATATCAGATGACTGGCCAGCCTGAAAACTGCACAGCTAATTTTCAACCAGTTGCTGGTATCATAAATGCAGAGAGAGAGAGAATTTACATGAGCTAATGTTTCCTGTGTCAGTAGATTGACCACCACTTTCACACTGAACTTATCTGTCTGAGCATGATGCAGGGCAGTTGCTTCCCTAATGTGCTTGCAGACCACCTGGGATCCTGAGATACATTTCTTATCCAGGTTTTTGGGCTGCAACATGAGACAGATGCGTCTTTTTAATGGCTCTCCAGATGGTACCATCGCCATCTGAGGACCTAGACAAGAGTCCAGTCAGCCATTTAACAAGAATCACATATCTTGAGAGAGCTGAGAAGATCCAGGACAGAGGATTGTTTACACCTCAACAAAATGACTCAATAACACGTTGACTAAGCCACATGAGCTCTTGTCTGTAATGGGTGGCTAGCTCTACCCCTTCCAGAGAGTTGCTGCTGTACAAATGCAATGTCTAAATGGCATTCTGAATACAGAGTTCTGAGCTCTTCATAGAACAACTGTCCAATAAACGCATGCTGAGGTTTTATCTTGTAAGCAAAGCATGGTTGAGACAGCCAAGATGTGACAGGGTGTCTTTGTCTACACTGTGTAGCCTGAGCTGACATTTCAACCCCAGATCAACAATATGCTCAATGATTTTTTTCCAGTGAACAGATGTAAATGTCTAACACATACTTTTCATGTTTTTCAGTTGCTTTAAAACCAATGTGGTCACAAAATGAATAAGCTTGGGAACATATCACATGCTTACAAAGAACATATATGATCCTATAAATTATTTTTTAGCAACTATGAATGACTAAAATGGTTCTGTGAATATCTTCATGCACAGCTCCAAGTGATAAAACAAATCCTACACCCAACACAACGTGTTGATGGTCTGCTTTTTTGCTGAGGCAGCTTCTCCATTCTGGACACCCAATTCCTTCTGCGGCTTGTCTGACCCGATAGTGCTCTCTCTACTGGTGCTGATGCTGGCGTCCCACATCTTCTGACACGCTCTGATGGTGCCATAGCTGATATGACAGGGACTTGTCTGGGCACAGGAAGGAGTGTGTGAGTTCAGTCTCCACCCTCTGTGGTACTTTTTGTTGAAGGTGACATGTCTTCCCCTCCCGCGAACCATCGTGTTTGTCTATAGAGGAAAGTGTACTCTTCCATACAGGCTCCTTGGGGGATACAGGCATCTTTTGAGATGCATTAGGAAAACAAGATGAAATACTTGTTATTCTCGTGCATTCTAACAGTGTCTCAGGCCCTGCTGCTGTCTCTCCTCCCCAGACACAAAGCTGACTTCCTTCCCAAGGCATCTTACACTCACAGAAATGGCAGCACCACCAGTCTGTAGACATCCATAGGCTTTTCTGAACATCCTTTCCCTGGGGCTAGGCTTATTTTTATTCTTCTATTCTGAAATATTCTGAACATTTCTTGTGTGTGATTGACATTCTCATAGGAACACAATTAAGGGAAAATAACATGCATTAACTATCTAATACAATCTAATAGTAATACCTAATTACTATTAAAAAAACCTTTCAAGCAAATAAAAATATCACACACCAAAATTAACAGACCCAAAGTCTATACAACTTAATGGAACTACATATGGCTAGAATTGGCATTTGAAATGGAAACTGAATTTTCACAGTAAGTTTTACACTTTTGGTATTAAATATATTTTATGCACTTATCCTCCACCAAATCCAAAAAACTCCAAGGCAGAATTAGCACCCGAAAAGCAACTGGCTTTATTTCCTCCTTCATACCTCATGCCCATTACCTGCATCTACTCCTTCCTCATCCCCTTATATCTGTGTTTATTATTCTCTTTTCTTCATGTTAGGTCGTCATGTACATGTTTTACCAATGTGCAAAATGTGACTTCCTGTCCTTGCCTAACAACTGAAGGAATTGCAGGTTAAAGATATCGTCTATCCTGACTGACGCTGTGAAGTCAGCAAGTTCCTGTTTGGAGTCTAGCCCAAGGTTGTCCTCCAAGTACAAGTCTTTTGCACTGTACTTCAAAGAACCACAAATGGAGACGAGAAGTGCCCACAGGGTTGTCTGTGAATGTGCTGGGTGCAAATGAACATTAGTCAGTTTATGGGCATTGGCTGTGACACACTTGCCAGGAAAATGACCGTCTTTTTCGAGAACTATTTCCATTTATAGAGCATCTGAAAAGAGCTTCACTGGGTCCTGTCTCTGTGATGTATTAATCATGTTTTGGTACAATGTTGCTAGTCACTAAAAAGCCAATAACATTCCATCTGCAGGGTGTCATACAACTGGTTAGAAAGTGAAGTGGTGAAGCCATTTAAACTACTGTTTGCTACTGGGGCATAGCTAACAGATTTATTGCTTATAACTTTTAATAGAATTTACTGGTTTTAAAACATTAGCTTTTTAACTTCCAAGAACCGAGGGTCTTCTTAGCCTGTATGAATATGTATGTAGACAAGCATCTACATCAATGGTCCTTAACCCTTATGAAAAAGAAAAGAGGGGATCTTCAAAATTTATTTTAAAAATTGAAACAGTACAAGTACACAATATAAATACATCTTAATCCATGAAGGAGGAGGACACTAGGATACACAAGTCAAAGGGTGTCGAGTAGCAGATATGTAGAAGAACAACATGAAAAGATTAATTGTGGTATGAGGGTTACACTTAAGAATATTCACCCCTGCAAGAAGAACCACAGGTGACTGATGAGATGAGTTAGCCTCTCCTAACTGCTTCATCTGTTGTCCAGTGCAGAGTGGTCAGCCCTGAACTATATACACACCACCAACACCTAGCAGGGTATAGCTGTGCAATACATGCATACATACATACAGACAGACACACACACACACACACATAGATACACATACACACATATACACACACACCTAATACACACATACATACACACACACATATATATATATATATGTGTGTGTCTGTATGTAACAGTAACAATCAAAGAAAGAGAGGCTGTCAGTGAGCAGACACATAGGGTAACTGAGAGGACCAGGAGGAGGAAAGGGAGGAGGGAAAGTGATGTAATTCTATTTCAATCAAAAAACATTTTTGAAGGGGATACTGTGTGTTGAAGTTAGCATTTTACTAAACGAGTAGCTCTCTCCCTCTCCCCTGTACTGGAAAGGCTTTGTAGGTTCTAAACAGGTGTCTTATGATTCTGCTGTGGAGTTGCAGGCCCCGCTGTTGCCACTGTTACACACTCGCGTGCACCCGGGCACACAGGCAGACACAGGTGAAGTGACACAATCCTGCGTTTGCTTCCCCTAAAGTGATCGCTTTACTGTTGTCAAGTATGCTGCCTTGTGGATACTTTAAATATATACGAGGGAATTCATGCTTGAAAATTACTTAGAGAAGATTATGAAGACAGCAGCAGCCTCCTGCCTCAGACTGGATTTGACAGGAAGCCTAAGAAGTACCTTGAGGGCGTTCTTTTATATACGAGGGCCCACGTGTGGAAGATGTACTGGACAAGTCTCTTGATGAGTATCTTCATCTAACTACTCAAGTTCTGGTTCCATACATTTAAGGAATTTCAGGCCACACCCCCTCCTCCGCAACACACTGATGGTAGCTCATGAGATTTCAGACACTGAATGAGTCTCTGCTTTAAGAGACCTAGTGACCTCAAGAGGGGGGGAGGGGTGCTTTAATAGTCTTCTCTTCCTAACCTGGTAATGTGACTGGCAGCATGAGCTGTCCACACGTGACTTCACGAAGCGTCTACATTCACAAGGTCTTCTGGGAAAGTTCGGCCTCTCCGGAGCCCAGTTCCATCTGGTGCTGTAGAAGCATCTGTTGATTCCTGTTTGTCTTAGGAGAGGTAGCTCAGCAATTAAAAGCCCTTCTGGGTTAGTTTCCTAGTCACACACTTGTCCTGTTGGTATTTTCTGTTAGTGCATGGAGGAATGTACATCAGCAGAACTCATCAGTATCTGCTATACCTCTTCCCGACTTCATCAGCTTCGTCTCATGGACCCCCTGCACAGGGACTTCCTGTTTTCTACTCTCCAGAACCCACTCTATCGCTGTCTGGCCTCCCGTCTACCTAAGCCTGATTGTTCTTAAAATCACTGTTCAGCTTCACACTTGCCCTGGATCACTAAACTGCTTCTGTTTATCAACGTAAACATTTCCTTAACTATCTCGTGT